TGTTTCCAATCTTATGGGAAAAGCTTTCAACATTTTGCCATTACAAAGATGTTTCCTATAGGGTTCTTATAAATACCCTCTGTCAAATTTAGGAAGTTCCCTTCTATTCATAGTTTGCTAAGAATTTTTTTCATGAATGATTATAGTGGTTTTTTTTATTATTATTATGAAATGCTTCACTAATTTGCATGTCACTGTTGGACAAGGGCCAATTTTTTCTTTTCTTTTTCAAAAGATGACTGGTAACGGAGTCTTAACGCTTGACTTGGTGTTGTCAGCACCATGCTTTCCAGGTGAGCTAACTGGCCATCCCTATATAGGGATCTGAACCTGTGGCCTTAGTGTTATCAGCACCACACTCTCCCAAGTGCTGCTGATGTGAGCATGGTTACAGAATTTTTTAACATGCTTTTTCTTCCTCTATTGAGATGATTTAATGGTTTTTTTCTCCTTTATTCTGTTAATATTGTTAATTATATTGGTTTGTCATATGTCAAATCATCCAACTTGTCTATGAGCTATTATCCTTGCTATATACTGTTGAATTTGTTTTGTTAAAATTTAAGACTTTTACATTTATTATGTTCATATCATTTTCCTTTCTTTTAATGTCTCTTGTAAGATTTTGATAGCAAGGACATGCTGGTCTCATGAAATGAACTGGGTGGTGTTTCCTTTTTTCTCTGTCTGAAGAGTTCACATAATATTGACATGATATCTTTCTTAACTGTTTGGTAGAATTCAGTAGTGAAGTTATCTCTTCCTGGAGTTTTGCATGTAGAAAAGATTTAAATTAGGATTTGATTTCTTCAGTAGTTATAGAACTTGTCAGGTTTTCTATTTCTTCTTGTGTCAGTTTGGCCAGTGATATTTTTTGTCTCCTCTATGTTTTAAGTCCCATTGTTTTATTCAGTCAACATTCACATACCTACATATTTTTCGTTTTTATTCTTCTTCATTTCTTTATGCCTAAGCTTACACTGGGGAATCATTTTTCTTTTGCCTGAAGAATACCTTTTATTATTTCTTTTAGTATGGGTTGGCTGCTAAAAATTTCTTATCTTTTAAAAAAAAAAGCCTTATTTCCATTCCTTTTTATTTTTCTTTTTGTTGGCTGGCTTTTGCCCACAAGCAGGGAAGGCTTGAGGTGTCAGAGAGCTAATCCAGGAACAACCCTCAACTACCAAGAGATGGAGTTGATGGATAAATAACCTCAGCTTCTTCCCTCCTCAGTAGATTAATTGTGAGGTGGGTCTCATACAGTCTCTCAGAGAGGTCCCAGTGGGATTGAGTTCCAGTTGCCTCTGTGCTAAAACAGTCATCAGTCCACCTTTTACTGGGTTTTCTCCTGTCCCTATCTTATTTCTCCATTTCCACACAGTGCTTCCTGCAATCACCTCCTAAAGAAAATACTAATAGCCAAATCCTTGTCTCAAGGTCTGCCTTTTGGGGAAAACAAATCTAAGATACGGCCTTTTTCAGGGATGCAGTCTTTTAGGACTCAACACAAAGTAAGAGGGGTTCATTAGTACTCCTCACGGCATTGGAGGGTCCTAGACAACAATCCCTGTTGTCTTAGCTCTGAGTGCCTGTCAGAAGAACTGCACAGGACTCACTTTCCTGGGTCTTATTTATCCCTTGGATCTTGGTGTGGTAATTCATCATTATTTTATTAGCTTTCTTGTGCCTCAGATTTAAATATTTTGTCTAACTTTTCTAGTTGTCCTCAAAGGAAGAATTAGTCCAAATTATTAGAAAGGAAGTCCCCCAGCCTCCTTTTGTAGGCTCGTATCGCACTTTGACTCTTCAAAGAGCTTCTGCTTGAACCCTGTTCATCTCCATTCCCTTATCTGTATCTCCTCCTCCCCCATCCATGTGATGGGCTTTCACAACTTCATGACTTTACTTGTTTTTCCCTGTTCAAAGTGTGACCCATCAGAGTGTTAGAGCTCTGGGAGAGAAAAACTCCCACTAACATAACATTCGGGACCACAAAAAGGTAGCAATGCCAGGGTGGTTTTCAGTCAAAGACCACGCAGGCAGTTTGAATGAGCTGCCTAGAGGGAGGATACCAATTTCAACCAGGAGAGAAAGTTCTAGGAAACTAGGAGTGGGTAAATCAAGTTAAAAGCAGGATGGATAATGAAAAGATGAAGAAGGATAGATTTGGAAGAAAGAGAAATGAGGCAAAGTGTGGGCATAGTGTGGTTTGTTCAGGGGCAAATCTAAAAGGATTAGGTTTAAGCCAAATATTCAATTTGCTTAGAACATTCTTGAAAGCTCAGCTTTAATGACTTTTCTTATTCTCTTGGCTGGAATCACTTCCTCCTTTAACTTCCATAGCACTCTTACTGCATTTATCATATATACATGTAAATATATATATATTTATTGGCTTTGAATAGTCTGTTACTTCTAAATTATTAACTATTAGGGGCTGGCCAGTTAGCTTAGTTGGTCAGAGCGCAGCATCATAACACCAAGGTCACGAGTTCGGATCCCAGTACTAGATAGCTGCTGTGGTATAGTGGAAGGAGCAATGGAATCAGACCTGGGTTTTAGTCTATGCTTCTTACCTAAGGTGTTTGAGGCCCAATGTCCTCATCTATATAATGGGGATAATATTGTTTGCCCTATAGTGTGATTTGAGCATTAAAAGACAGAAATTATATACAGTGGTGGTACACAGAGAGCACTTGACAAATAAAAGCTTCCATTTGCTGAGCCTACTATGTGTATAAACTACTCTAGGTGTTTGACATAAATTCTTTTTTCCTTTTTTGCTAGCCAGTACAGGGATCAAATCCAGGACCTTGGTGTTACCGGCACCACGCTCTAACCAACTGAGCTAACCGGCCAGCCTAGCTCATCTTATTTTGACCTCACCGCAACCCTGCATAGATCTATAATTATGCAATATTTAACAAATGAGAAAAATAGGTTAAATAATCTAATCAAGGCCACATAGTGAAGTAGAAGTCATAGGACTCAAATCTAGGTCTGTCTGGCTCTAAAACTGGCAATGTCCATTGGTTTATCCTGCTTCCCCAGGGCTCACATGGACATCCAATAAATATTGGCTTTGAAATCACTTTTTGGCCCATTCTGGGCTGATGTTGGAGCTGGTGACCTACAAAAGTGTTCCATTATCTGTCTCAAGGGGTACCTAGTCTATTCTGATTTATAAATAAATTTTCATTTATTTTGCTCAAAAGATTTTCCTAAGCAAAAGTGTTTGTGTGTGTGCAATGCATTAACAGAGGAAAAGTGATATATATCCTTCTTAAGAACGTTTTACAGACCCTTGATTTAACAAATAACATGATGGAGAAGAAGCTTCATGTTTTCAGTTTTTGCCTTGAAAGAGGTACATGATTTTTTGAAGGGATCACAGAAACCTCTGAGAAGGAAGATATGAACTGGTACCCTAAAAAAAACCCCAAAACAGATCCATTCAAGAATTTGCCATTATGATCCCATTGATCATAAGTTAAAAAAAACCCTTCATTTAAGAGTAATAAAAAAAAAAAAATCATGAATCACTTAAATCAGGAAATTAGTGGAAATTTCCACATTTTGTCTTTGTGTGGGTATGTGATAGTGGAGGTGGTGGGGAAATTAGGAAAACTAGGGTAGTAAAAGAAGTTGCTGCAAAACCAGCTCCAAGATCCCACTATCACCTTCTGGAAAAGCCTTTACATAACTATCTTACTTCTCCAATACAAGGCTGTGAATTTCTAGTCTCAATTGATTTTACACTTTCACTTTACAATACAGCGGCGGATTAAGGATGAGAAACAACAACAACAAACTCCTAAGGGTCCGCGAAATAATCAGGGCTGCCCCAGGGAAATCTCAGCGAGTGAACGCAAGAGACCCTCTCCCTCCCCGCCTCCCTGGGGACACACACTCGCCCTCCCTCCAGGACGCCCTCCCCGCCGCGGCACAGCCCCTGCACCTCCTCCTCCCCCAACACGTGCTCTCCCGAACACTCCGGAGAGCTCCCACCCCGCGGGGGGCTGGGCTCGGGAGCCGAACGGACCAATCGGCACGTGCCTTACAGCGTAGTGGCCCGACGACGTTGAGCCGCCCAATCGCAAGGGCCTTACCGCCCGTTTCCCGGAGCTCCGCCCCTCGCGGCCGTGCCGCCGCCCGCCGGTCTCCTCCCTCCTCCTCCTCCCGTTTGCCCCTCCCCCGGCGCTCCGGAGCGGAGCCTGCGAGACGGAGAAACTGGGGCAGAAGTGAAGATGGCGGCGGCGGTGCGGGTGGCGGCGGCGGCTTCTCGCCAGTGACGCGCGGTGCGGGCTCATCTCCCTCCCCACCTCCCTAGTCCGGACCCCGTCCGCCGCCAGGACCACCGTCCGCACAGTCCGCCCCTCTCCCCCCTCCCCATTGCCTCCTTTCCCGACGCCCGGCAGCCGCTGGCGACGGCGCGCCCCCGGTCCCGGCCGCCGGCCTCGGACTCCTCCGCGCTGTCGCCGGGGGAGCGGGTGGCG